AGTGTCGTGCATCTCATTAGCATATCATTATCCCTTCTGGCCTTTGTTTTCTGAAAAAAATTCCCACTGTTACCGAAGTGAATGCTCTAATTAAAGCCGCACCAAGACTTCACGCATCTGAATTCGTCCATTGAAAAAATAAATTTTAATTAAAGCCGCGGAATTTTACGGTAGTTTGTCAACTTTCAACTGACGAACATGGAATGGGATTGCTTTCAAAGATTCACATATCACCATACATGGTTATGAAATTTGTATACCCTCATCTTAAAGTAGTTATAAATATTGCGTTTTAATTGTTACTGCAAAACGACTGTAGTTGCAAGTACATTCAAAGTACAATGCAAGATAATGATACAAGTATAGGAGTTCCTCATCCCCCTTCCCAATCATTGGCAATGGTATATGTCCTTCCTCAGAACATAGATCTGGAGGGGTGTATACAATTGTAATGTAGTTATTTTGATAGTAAAACAGCGTCTTGTACTACAATACTGCAATTCCATTTTTTCTTGTGGTCACAGTAATGCTCCAGTCAATGTCAACACCGACCCCTCCCACCTCGGGCGATACGGGACAAATATGGGGCATTAGACAGGGTTTACCGCCAAACTGTGCCCGTGGAGGTGGGGTAATAGCCGTGTTTCGTGTCCCGTCATCGCTAGCATCGCTAGTAGTCTGCTGATAGCAAGCATGGCGAACAGTGGCGATTTGTGGAAGAAATGTGGGGGTTTGTTTTGGTTGGGGATTTGCCTATCCATCTTGCCCCAGGAGGTGGGGCATTTGGCAAATTTTACAACAATAATTTCCAAATCCCCCACTAAACCCAGAGGTGGGGAGGGTGGGGGTTGACATTGACTGGAGCATAAAACTACTGTACAACTACAAGTCCTATAATTAAAATATACAAGATATATTGAAAAAAAAATTAAATTAAATTTCATACCCATGTCACACCAACAATGAATGATTATTTTATTGAGACTGAATATATGTGAATAAAAGCACCTACCCAGCAATCTTGTTTCGTAGCTTCTTGCTCGGAATGATGGCTATTTCTTCACAAACTCTCTTATTGGTGTGAAAATCAAGTGTCAGGCGAGTGTAATATTTCTCAATAATTACACGCGCCGCCTTCTTGATTGTTTTAGTCCTGACACGACCCTAGACAGAGAAGCACGTGGCACCTTTAGTAACGAATATGCATGCTATGACCAAGAATTTACGTAAAACACAAATGAAAGTAAATCGTCGTCGCTACACGACCGGTTCACAATATACTAATCTATAAACATGGCTGCCGAGAGATACACTCTTCCAAAACATGCATCGTTTCTAGTTTAATAGTAACACGATATGCCAGAAATTTATCTTAACGGGACAACAATATATTAAACATCCAGTCGGTCGTTATAATTTCGAAAAGGTTTCAGTCTAACTCGTGGATGGATTGGATATTATTTACAAAACATGTCTACCCACCATCTTGGATTCGAGCTTAGGGTGAAAGAGACCGAATTGAACTCTGGGAAATCCAAACGTAGTCTGTCGTTGGTGGCAGCAATCTTATCCATTTCATAATGCAAATCACAGCGTATTCATAAAAAAAGTACGACTTTATGAAACAACACTATGATTGTGAAATGCACAAGAAAATAAACATATCAAATGAATAATACTGGAAACAACACTTTGAGTTATACACTCCGCATTTACAAACCCTTATCTGTATTATATTGATAATTTTACTAGAAATGTTGTCGAATTTTAATAAATTAATGAGCACATAAATAAATGAATGAATAAACCACTGACAAACAAACAAAGACACGAATTAATTATTTAATTAACGTAGTAAACAAAACATACATACAATCGGCATTTTATTATATATCGAAAAATTCATTCTTAACCGCTTTTAAAATCTGTATTGATAAAATGATAGAATAGAAATAATAGAAAATTGCAAAATATTCCCGAGCCTGAGAAAGTACAGTACTTGCGAAAAAAGCCCGGCTGCGCTAGTACGATATAGAATGTTGAAGACATTGTTCTTTTTATTTCAAAGGTTGTGACATGGAGTCTGTATACGATTACTACAAAACTAAACACTGTCAATGATCATGATTTAATATAAATACTTAAAAAATACTGTAAAACTGTGTCTATTAGTGATAATGAGTGACGTCGTCGCTTACGATGATGAATTTATACTATTTGTATTACTAGTCTGAGATTTATACAACTCTCAAGTTCAAGTTGGCCGCTAGTGTGCATAATTCCTAACACACTTTCAGAAGATTAGCATATATTTAATGTGTAATATAGAGATATCCAAATCACAAAATTCTTAGACTTATTTGTCATGTTTACTCAGTGTTTTCTTCAGGCATGTGAACAAAACTGACTCCTAGTACTCGACCCCCTAGCTGCCCGGGGATCGTAAAAATAAATTCTGATCCACTCTTCAAACGAATATGGGTCTATCAATAATATTACTCTTATATCACAAACCCATTTATTTTGCGCATGACAGCGAATGTTGTTACGAACGAAAGTATACAGGGTTCTTAAAAATCTGTTGTGGGATAACATTACATGCTAATGGCCATTCGTGGCACCATAATTAGTTGTGCCGTGTAAAAAACAAATTTCAACCCGTCAAACGATAGAACTGTGATTGTTTCGGGAAAATGCACCTCCATTAAAATCATCGTCCTCAAATCTTCATACGTTGAAACAAGATTTGTATATAGCGCCCTCAACCGGCGTAGTAGTAAACCAGATCATTATATTATCTTTGCACACATTGTAGTAAATACTATACTTTATTACGTCACACAAAAACATACATTGAATAAAGTACTTACAGAAGTTATTTTCTTGTAAACGGCGAATTATTATATAAGTAATGCACCACAAGGATATACTTTTATTTAATCATTTCTGAAATTTGATAAAATCGCCAGCACCACTTTTAACAATAATGCTGATAGTAATGACAAGCACGCTATTTTGCTAACAGCTAGCACATAACACTGGGCAGTACAAGGCGACACTTGCCGGCGTCAATCTTTTCTTTTTTTCTTTTTTTAAATAAAACAGAAAGTCGAGTGGACATACCAGAATCACAAATATTATTTCTTCATATGCCCACTCTTGGCTCAGAATTGTTAGCTTGGATAGATGGCACGATATCAGTAAACAGATCGACAATGTAGGATTCTGAGCAATACTAGTATGTTATAATATCATGTAACCACGTGACTAACTAGTTGAATACACTGTAAACCAATGACATCGTCGATATCCTTGTATTGCAGCTGACCTAAATTAGGAAATGTAATATTTACTGTGTGGTCACATTGGGCTTCATATTGTCACTTCATCCACTTTTGTACGTTTCTACAGATATTGCATTATTTTAATAATTATAAATATTTTGTCATGGCATGCAGAGTTGGCACCAACAGTCAGAATTCAGAACTATTGTTCCTCGATATGTTCCTTAATGTCGTTCGACTCATTCACGCTTTCTCCCCTCAATGATTGTCTGCTGCCGACCGGTGTATCAGACTTTTTAGTTTCTCGTTCTGATTTGATCGTCGACGCTGATGGAGATCTAGAAGTGTTTTGTTGTGATGGCGTGTCATTCATTTGCAATATTTCTTCCGCTACCTCCTCCGGTGCCTCACTGGTTTTGCGTTCCGAGTGTTTCGATGAGTGTGGACGATCTTCAGATTCAATCGGCGATTCGGTTTCCTCACGTGGAGAATCTGGGGCCTTCTCAGGTTGATTCTGTACAGCTTGTGTGTGGGGGTCATTTAGTGCATCTTTTCCCGTTTCGCTGTCGCTTTTCTTTTTTGTTTCATGTTGTTGTTCCAGCGCATCGTCAACATGACCGTTCGACTCGTCTTTCTCCGTCCGCTTCTGTGGCTTTTCGCTTTGTTTAGCGTCCTTTCTTTTTCTGGTTCGTCCCTTCTTTCCATCTTCGTGTTCGTCGTCCATAAGATTTTGAATCAAGTGTCTGCCAGACGTGGTATGGGAACGTGGTGTCGATTGGCTCTTGCTTTCAAATGACTCACTCTCGTAATAATGCTCTGACTCCGAGTCGAGTTGCGTCAGTTCCATTCGGTCCAGGGCACGCCTCTG